CCCTCTGTCAGTATCTGTATGTATATCAGTGTTACCCTCTGTCAGTATCTGTTTGTATATCTGTGTTACCCTATGTCAGTATCTGTATGTATATTTGTGTTACCCTCTGTCAGTATCTGTATGTATATCTGTGTTACCCTCTGTCAGTATCTGTTTGTATATTTGTGTTACCCTCCGTCAGTATCTGTATTTATATCTGTGTTACCCTCTGTCAGTATCTGTATGTATACTTGTGTTACTCTCTGTCAGTATCTGTTTGTATATTTGTGTTCCCCTCTGTCAGTATCTGTTTGTATATTTGTGTTACCCTCCGTCAGTATCGGTATTTATATCTGTGTTACCCTCTGTCAGTATCTGTATGTATACTTGTGTTACCCTCTGTCAGTATCTGTTTGTATATTTGTGTTCCCCTCTGTCAGTATCTGTTTGTATATTTGTGTTACCCTCCGTCAGTATCTGTTTGCATACTTGTGTTACCCTCTGTCAGTATCTGCATGTATATTTATGTTACCCTCCGTCAGTATCTGTATGTATATCTGTGTAACCCTCTGTCAGTATCTGTAGGTATATTTGTGTTACCCTCTGTCAGTATCTGTATGTATATTTATGTTAACCTCTGTCAGTATCTGTATGTATATTTGTGTTCCCCTCCGTCAGTATCTGTTTGCATACTTGTGTTTCCCTCTGTCAGTATCTGCATGTATATTTATGTTTCCCTCCGTCAGTAACTGTATGTATATCTGTGTAACCCTCTGTCAGTATCTGTAGGGATATTTGTGTTACCCTCTGTCAGTATCTTTATGTATATTTATGTTACCCTCTGTCAGTATATGTTTGTATATTTGCGGGACTACCGGTCGTCTGTATCTGTATGTATATTTGTGTTACCCTCTGTCAGTATCTGTGTGTATATTTGTGTTACCCTCTGTCAGTATCTGTATGAATATTTGTGTTACCCTCTGTCAGTATCTGTATGTATATTTATGTTACCCTCTGTCAGTATCTGTTTGTATATTTATGATACCTGTCAGTATCTGGATGTATATTTATGTTACCTGTAAGTATCTGTATGGATATTTATGTTACCTGTCAGTATATGTATGTATATTTATGTTTCCTGTCAGTATCTGTTTGTATATTTATGATACCTGTCAGTATCTGGATGTATATTTATGTTACCTGTAAGTATCTGTATGGATATTTATGTTACCTGTCAGTATATGTATGTATATTTATGTTTCCTGTCAGTATCTGTTTGTATATTTATTATACCCTCTGTCAGTATCTGTTTGTATATTTATGTTACCTGTCAGTATATGTATGTATATTTATGTTTCCTGTCAGTATCTGTTTGTATATTTATGTTACCTGTCAGTATCTGTTTGTATATTTATGCTACCCTCTGTCAGTATCTGTATGTATATTTATGATACCCTCTGTCAGTATATGTATGTTTATTTATGTAACCCTCTGTCAGTATCTGTTTGTATATTTATGTTACCCTCTGTCAGTATCTGTTTGTATATTTATGTTACCCTCTGTCAGTATCTGTATGTATATTTATGTTACCTGTCAGTATCTGTTTGTATATTTATGTTACCCTCTGTCAGTATCTGTATGTATATTTATGTTACCTGTCAGTATCTGTATGTATATTTATGTTACCCTCTGTCAGTATCTGTATGTATATTTATTTTACTTGTCAGTATCTGTATGTATATTTGCGGTACCACCGGTCGTCTGTATCTGAATGCTTATGGACATTATAATGGTTTTGGTGTTACTATCCGTCAGCGCAAATCAGATCTTCACGATTGAATTTTCCTTAGCTTTATCGAAACGATTACATATTCCTCAAAGTATTGTTCCTATATTGACATATACTTCCCCGGTCCCAACAGCATTTCATGCGAATGATCTCTTTATATGACGTAACAATTTGCCCTTTTTTGCTGTACCCTTGCGCCACGTAGACCATTAATACGACCGTGACTGTGTTGTATCAATTTGAACCAATATTTGTATTTACCGGACACAATGGAGTACCTGTGCGCCCAAATCCCCAGCGAAATATAATCCCCTCTCCATGATATTTGAGACCGGAGGGGGATATGCTCTATTATAACAAATAGTGCTAACATGTTTTACATAGCGGACATAAAACACTTTCCATGTTACGCTCCATTTTATGTTGCCCCGGGGCTGCTGAGTGTTATAACTGCTTCGGTTCATTAAGCTTTCACACAAAAACACAATTTAGGTACCTGTAGGGGCTGTAAGTACTCCTGTCGGCAGATACATGTTTGACTGTAATATATTATATTATTTTAACTACAACATTCTTCTAAATGTCAATGAGACCTATTATATTATTCCAACTCCAACAGACTTCTAACTGTCAATGAGATGTATGATATTATTCTAACTACAACAGACTTTTAGCTGTTTGAATGTAATATTTCATATTATTCTATCTTCACTGTAAAAACAGACTTCTGACTGTTTGAATGTAATATATTATATTATTCTAACTACACTGTACAACAGATTTCTGACTGTTTGAATGAAATATTTTATATTATTCCAACTACAACAGACGTCTAAAAGTTTGAATGTAATCTATCATATTATTTTAACTTCAACAGACTTATAACTTTCAAGGATGATTTCTGATACCAGATATTAACACACAAAACAAGTGCTGTGTCTGGTGCCCCATACTAACAACACTCCAGTGCAATACTTGTTGTCAATAGGACCTAATAACGAGGACGTCCACTGATACAACACGTGTTGTCAATAGGTACTAGCCTGAAAACACAACCAGTATAACACATGTTGTCAATAGGACCTAATAATGAGGACGCCCACTGATACAGTACGTGTTGTCAAAAGGTACAACACGTGTTGTCAATAGGATGTACTATAGAGAACGCCCACTGAAACAGCACGCCAACTGTTACAACATATGTTCTCAATAGGACCCAATACGGTGAATGCCAACTGGTAAAACAAATGTCGACAATAGGCCAAAAAACTGAAAACGCCTACCGGTACAATACGTGTTGTGAATAGGACCCAATATGGAAAACGTCAACTGGTAAAACAAATGTTGGCAATAGGACTCAAAACTGAAAACGCCCACCGGTACA